TTTTGTATATTTTTATTTTTTATTTTTTAATAGTTATATTATATATAGAATGAATAAATTAATTATAATAAATATTACATTGCAAAATGTAGCCATCGTCATAGGAAAAAGTTTTCCTGCAGTAAGGTACAGTGGCCTATTGACTAACATCATTATAATCAATAGATTTTTGGCTTGTTTCGGTTTTAAATTGTACCATTCGTAGTTATAAACAGCCTCATATACCTCTTCACACTTGGCGAATAAATATTCCAAAAACGATTATAATAAAGCATGATTTAATATTATGTTTATTCAATATTTTAATAAATAATGTTTAATATTCTGCATGCAATGAAAAAAAAAATAAATAAAATAATATTAATACTTACTTGAATGACTAAAAATTCACCTACCACACAATAAAGACACATATGTGTAAATGTATTAATGACAGCTGTCAGGATGTAAATAAGTCGAAGAATTGAGAGATTGCTACCTTGTGTTATTATCTAAATAGTAAAAATAACTAAACATAATTAAAAAATTCTAAGAAATTTTGTACTTATAATGATAAATACAAATAATTAATTTAAACAGATTTAATAGCAGTTTATAAATTATTGATTAAATTGTATCACTTCTACAATTATAGCCATTCTGGGACGTAATTGTGTGTGCGATTAATTAAATTTTATAATACAAATAATTATATTTATATTGGATTTATATTATATTGGATTTATATCGATGGCTATCGATTTGCAATTACAGTGTTAATATATTAAATAAATTTGTATCATCTCTTTTAAATAAAAAATTTTAAGTTTTTTTTATATTTTAAGAAAAAAATGTAAAGATTAAATTGTTAAAAAGTAATATGTAGAATAATTATTATGATAATATTCTTTTTATTTTGTAATAATATTCATTTTTCAAAGGATGCATGAATATTATGTTTATTGCAATTTTAAAGTACGTCAATATAATACTTTACAAGCATAATACTGTATAATCAATCATTTTACATATATAATGAAATAATAGATACATTATTTAAATAAACAATTAGATGAGTATTGGAATATTACAGTTTCTAATTGTAAATTACGGTTCCAATTAGAACAGTAATTTTATGCAATTTCATTGCTTTATATTGAGATGGAAAAATTTATAAATACAAGTTAAAAAATACTTACGGTGACAAATAAAAATCCATATAGAGCAAAAAGTATGCTAAAATAAACTAGCAGACCAAGCAACATTAAGTTAAACGTATTGTCAATGAGTTTAATAAATCTGTAAGCGAAAAATGACAAAAACTAATATTATATAAATATTATTTTGTTTATTTCTATCTATTTTTAACATAAATATTAAGTAAAATAAAATATCTTTTATAATTTATAATGTATAATACAGCTAACACATAACTATGACTAGGATATATAAAACTTATCAAAGCAATAAATTACATAATTCACTTTATAAAGAAATTGTCATCATCAAATCTCTGTTTAATATACAGGTAGGATTAATATACAAATATTATACAAATGTCTGATAATTGTTCTGATAGAGTTCGTGGACATGTAGGACTATACTGAGATGGAAAGTCCTCTACTATTTTGCAATTTTTGCAATAGTTAACAAGATATTTATTACTAAAAATTGTCGAAAATTTGTCTTCAATAATTTTTTATTCAAATACTATCAACTTTATAGAAAAACTGCAAGAGACAGAAATTGTTTATTTTCTTCTCAGAGCTAAGAATTTTTTAGAATTTTTTCAGAATTTTTAAATACCGTATTTTCTTATGTTGTTAAAAATGAGAAAATGCACTAAAGAGTTGATAAAAAATTCTGAAAAAATTCGTAGAGTTCTATGAGTATTTATTGCGAAAATTACAATATAATAGAGGTCTCAGTTCGTTCTACATGTCCACTCTGTCAGAACAATTATCAGATACCTTGTACACACACACACACACACCCACACACACACACACACACACACACACACACACACACACACACACACACGCACGCACGCACGTACGCACGCATATATATAGGTTGTTTCAGGACCTTAGGGACAAACTTCAAGAAATAGTAAATCTCATTAAAAGAATCAAAGATTCTTTGATAAATGTGGATTCTTTTATATATCGATACGAATATATCATTCCATAAATCTATACCATTTGAAATTTGTTGTTCCTAAGAAAGATCCTGAAACATCTTTTCTCTCTCTCTCTCTCTCTCTCTCTCTCTCTCTCTCTCTCTCTATATATATATATAAAATTAAATTTGTATTGTATGTGTTACATATGTATACATTATATATTATGTGTATACATATAAATATGTGTACATTAATAATTTTTTTATCAAAAAATCTTTTGTTATCGATTAACAAATTATTTTTATTTTATTTTGACAAAATTTGATGGATTTATGAAAAAGGGAAAACTTTAGAAAATATTTGATATAATTTCTGCAAAATTTATTAAATTCAATTGTGAATTTACTTCTTTATTTGTTTCATCAGTACGAAACCTGATAAGATGTATATGATCCTGCACACTAGATGATAGTGCTTTCTCGTAGTGATTGAATTTATCCAAATTAAGAATACGCATCCTGAAATTTTCGAGTTGACCACATACATGGAAGACTAGATAACCCATGAAAGAATCTGTGCCAGTGTATAGAATAGCGGCTGTCATCAAACTAAAGCCTTGTAGAATGAAAGTCACCTCATAAAATGGACTCTTGCTTACATTATATATGTAATATGTTTGCAGTGGTAGCACTTTGTCCGGATCGGTAATATTTGTAATATATCTCATTGATATATTGAAAGAAGGAAGAATTACAACCAAAATGAAGGAGAAAATCATAACAAGGTATCCCCAAATCATGATTAGATGTGAAATTCGCGTTTGTCTTATCATGACAGCTTTTTCTTCTTCTGTCTTTAATTTTATCCAGTCCTCTTTAACTATTTTTAAAACTGATACAAGAACTATTAAAAATAAATTATGCGCGTTAAAATTATGTTGTTATCTTCTTGTTAGAATAAAGTAATAGAAATAATAAAATTTTCGTTAGAAAAACGTAGTGGAAGAGAATTATATTTGAGATAAATATATAAATGAAAATGGTACATTAAAATATTTAATATTTAAAAATTAAAAGTTCATTTTATTGATCATTATGCGTATTAAATATTTTAAAAAACGTCTTATCTTTCTATATGAATTAAATTTTAAATGAAAATAACTAAATTTCTTTTCTTAAGATTTCTTATAACAAAATCAAAAAAACATAATTTTGAATAAATTTTGGTTTTTTTAATAAGTATATTGCATATACATTTTTTTCTCAAGTAAGAGTACCTTTTTTCTTCTGCCACAACAAAATGAGTTTTATTATTGATGTTAAAAGCGGTAAAGTGTATTGTAGGTTATCGATCATAGACGTAATATTGCCCCATATTCGGATGAGAGAATGAAAAGATGGAACAATGCAACTCCAAATAATTATATTTAATATAATAATCACTCGTAAATTTATCATTAATTTCCTTCGTGGAGTTTCATTGAATTCTGGCCAAACTCCAAACAAGCTCAAGCAAAATCGATTTAATGTAATAACCCAATTGTAATCTATTTTCAAAAAAATATTATAGGCAAAATTAATATAAAGTTTATTCTTAAATAAAATGCATCAGTTAATATTTTGCTAAAATTGAAATACATGACTGATTTTCTATTGACAGTATATTGCATGTTTGTTTTTTATCTTTGTCCACATTTGTAATTTATCTACTTAAAAATATTCTCATATGATAGTTATATTTTTTATTTTTTATATTATAATTTCCCTTTGTACACGTAGTTAATAGAAAATATATTAAATTTGTTACGTTCATTAAAAATTATTTAATAAAAATTATATTAAAAATTTATTTAATAAAAATTATTTTATTAAAAACCTATTTACATTGCTATATTAAAATTATTGAAAAAAGAAATAACCTTACCTTCATGTCCTGAATGCATCGAAATAACCATATCGTCAATTACATGGGAATTAACTTCCCCTTTTGCCATGTCTATGGCAAAAATAAAAATATGACCATCTCTTTAGCACGTATGTGAACTACAATGTGCGCAGAAACTCTATAGACTTACTTTTCTTCATGAATATTGCAGTCGTTAATAATAATGTACGTGTTTATAACAAGAATGCGCTTGTAGTTAGATTGCTTTCCTGCGAGGAAATTGAATTATAGGGTAGTTATTTCCCCTCTGTGAACTAAACAACTGTGACCTGTCGTCAACATCGATAAAGGGCCGCATCCAGTAATAAACTTAATATATTGTTATTGAACATATTTTGTAAACTGCAAAACTTTTGTTACTTATGCAGAGAATTTGATTAAAATATTGTACAATGTTGCACATACTTATGTTGTGTTAAGACATCAAAATATGTTCTTATCATTTTCATAAAACAATATATGTATATATATATATATTTAAACAAAACATTACAATATTATAGATTTAAATATTAATAACAAGATTGATAAAATTTTAGCTTCTTTTGAATTTATTTACTGAATATAGAAAATCTTTTTTAATAAATATACGCATTTTTGATTTTAAATTGGCGATAAGTTTAATTATTTCTAAACCGACCCTGTAGTATAGATTAATGTTTAGCTGAACGTGCACGATGTGTAAAAGTCTTTCTTTCTTAAAGTTTGAATATCGGTTTTTTTACAACGGCTGGCAAAGTTTTATACTTGAGAACTATATACGAAGTAGCAGATATGTACACGTAACAAGTACTCTTAGTATCTATCAAAGAAGGGACTTACCTTGTTAAGTATACATTGTTAAGTCTAGAGATAATATATTTTAGTAATAGCTATTATCATTCTATTTGTCACTTAAGTAAAAAGTACTTAAGTAAAAAAGAAATCTATAATATTTGAGTTACTACAATAGAATATTTTTTTATTTTGTGATGATACTGAGTTATCTTTAATAGAATTTGAAGATAAAAGTAAAAGTTAAAATATAAAGCATAAATAAAAAAATAATAAAAATTGTTATACTTAATTAAAAAGAGAGTCAATTACCTAGTCAATTAAACGGATATTATATG